GTAGAGTTCACCGAGTCGTGCGCAAGGAGCCTTAAAATCAGGCTAAGGCGTCTGAAAATAAGGTATACCAGCACACTTTCAACACGATCGTAGCATTCCAACTTTAAAATCTCAGGCGCTAGACTGATAACTAGAACTTTTCGCTTTTAACTCGTCACCGCTGCCACCGGTATACTAAATTACGAAGGACCGTTAGATATGGCGCAGCACTTAAGCACTATGACATAAGTTTTATCGTCAAACTTTCGAGCACATTACGTTGAACATGTCTAAAACCTCCGACATTAACTCATAAATGAGAAATGAATGCTCGTCGTTTACATTATAAACAGTAAATTGGAACTTTCTGGTCTCAAAAGAACCAATCGACGTGGGCAAAATTCTTCGTTTCCCAGACGAAGGAGCGTAACTCCATTTCAAGGTTGCAAAATTGGCTCGAACAATTCGAATTTTTGCAAAAATATAATTGAACATTTTTTGTTAAATAAAATTCTGATTTCTGCATGGGATCAGAATGAAAAATCGGTGAAAATTTCGGTTGAAAATTTTCGAAATTCTCCTGGTAAAATTGCAATTCGCGAGAGGAAATGCGGCAACATTGGAATGTAGTTACGTTCTTTTGAGACTGGGAGAACAGATTGGGTATTCGAATCAACCGTGCGTCAAGAAAATACATAACTGCGCTTTTCCTTAGCTTGACAGTAGAACAATCGCACACTGAAAAAAAATCTCGGTGTATTTACTAAGAAAAGGGTAAAATTACCAAGAAATCAGGGTTCTATTTGATCCCAGTTTTTTCTTGGTAAAATTACCGTTTATGGAAATGGTAATTTTACCAAAAGTCTCGGTAAAATTAATGAACTTTCTCGGTAATTTTACTGGACCTTGGTAAAAACGTCAATTCTTTTTTATCGACTGTGGTAGAATTACCGAGATAAAATGGCAAAGTTACCGGGAATTGATTACCGATAAAAGTGGTATTCTTACCTGAAAAAGACAGTAAAAATACCGGTTTTTAGGTAAGCTTACCAGTCTGTCTTGGTAAAATTACCAATAATTGGTTTTGGTAAAAAAAAAAGTGAGATGGTAAAGGTACCAACGGACCCTGGTAAAAACGCCGAGAATTTCTTTTCAGTGCAACTTCGTAAACATTAGGGGGTTCTTTTCCTTTCTTTCAGCTCTTTGCACTTTATTTATCCGAATACTTAACTCAAACTGATAATTCTTACTTCTTTGATCCTAATCGATTGATTGCACGATTCACGAAATTTTCAGGGCACACTCATCGACGCGCCTTGAGCTTTTACACCCACTCAACGATGAAAAAACTGCCAGGCTTTTAAACTTTCCGAACGATCGACGCAGTCTCATTTCACGTCTAGTTATAACGGCACCAGGGCGTTGTTAATAGATCCGTAAACGATATGTAAATTGAATGACCGCGTTATGTAATTTTTCATCAAAATTTCGCGCAGAAAACAGTAAAAGTAACGGATAAGTCATAAATTAACACCTAAATGTAAAATTAACATCTAAATGTGAAATTAACATTCACATTTCACGCTTGAGTCCATTAATTAACGTCTTCATTGACAGAAAAACCGTGGTCTATGTCATTTCAGTCGCCCTCAAAAAAAAATTCATTTTCATGTAAAATGTTCGGTCGCCTACATCTAACACCTCAGCATTAAAAATCCAATCGTTAGATGAATCTACGCATTTGACTTATGTTCTAGGAAAATATTTTCCGTGCTTTTATAATAATTCCACGCGGTTGTGTCTTTTGAAACCATGCATTTCGACAGTGAAACTCCCAAACCATGTATCTCGTTTGCGGTGATGCAAAATCTCCGCTCCCGTTTTTTTTTCACAGGAGAACGAATCAACGTCATTTCTTGATTTTTTCACAGAATTTGCTTCGCGCAGAGAAGGAAAATCTCGGCAGCTCTGAAAAGTAACCGTTGAGTAGTTCTCCACCTAAAAAATTAAATACGACAGGAAGTCTGTGACGTTGCAAACCGAGATTCGTGGTTTGGGAGTTTCACCATCGATTTGCTTTTTCAGCCTAATTGTCAGAATTGATAGACAAAACGATAGACAAAGAAGATATAGGGAGTATGGAGCGATCCTATTGGTTGAAATGGGTGGTTCCTAGACTAAGCGAGAAGATGATGGACTAATTATCGGGTCTCTCGTGGGTTGCCGTTAGTTAGTCTATTACCTAGCTCGTTTGTCCATTGCAACCGCTCGCCTCCACCAATAGGATCCCTCCATATCTCTTTGGTCTTTTTTATCTATAGCTTTGTCTATCGATTTCAATAATCGGCCTACTTCAGTTAAAACTACAACAACAAGCGTCTTACGAGGACCGTCCGAATCCAATCTCTGACAATGAATAGGGTGGCAGTGACAGTGGTTAACTGGTAAATTCAAGACTGCGCTGTATGATGTCGCCCACATCCGCCATCTGGTCACTTCGAACACACATGCGCTAAAATTACTCGCACACCAACGACGGAGAACAGTCGAAGTTGCGTCCCGAGCGCAAGTCCAGGTGACCAGGACCAGGGCTGGCCCTCCTTCGCTCCTGCCTGCACTTTCAATATCTGCCCGCGTCGCTTTTGGAATGACCTCAAATCTCCAAACTCTGCGAGTCTAATTGCCCAGTTAGCACAGTTGGCAAATACATGTTCAAATTATTGGTATTGTATAGGAGTGTTATGTGTGTTGTCTAGTCACTGATTGAAGGGGCTCCACTTATTCAAGTTTCCGCATCTAAGCTCAGCAGCTCAATTACACTTGGTTCCTTTACCATACTTCCTATGTGGACCACATTTTGCAATTAGGCTACATTTTGGACGAGGTTACCACAACGGAGATGTTGCAATGTTGCATGTGTGAGGAATTTGCGATTTGACCATTGATTCATAAGTAAAAGTTCGCGAGAGACACGATGGTGCCACTGGTTTTCTCTGAAATCAACTCCCAAGCTCAAAAAAAGCTCTCAAGTTGAAGCCGAAATGGAGGGGATATCCCACGCCATCCTGAGAGTCCACGTCTACATCGAGACAAACTCTCCATGCAAAGATAGGGAGCAAATGCATTAGCAGGGTTGCCGTGTTTTCAGGTTTGGAGTCCCCAATTAAAGTGGCAGCCCTGTCAATGTATTTGCTCCCTATCTTTGCATGGAGAGTTTGTCTTGATGTAGACGTGGACTCTCAGGATAGCGTGGGATATCCCCTCCATTTTGGCTTCAACTTGAGAGCTTTTTTTGAGCTTGGGAGTTGATTTCAGAGAAAACCAGTGGCACCATCGTGTTTCTCGCGAACTTTTACTTATATATCAATGGTCAAATCGCAAATTCCTCACACATGCACATCATGCAACATCTCCATTACTGTCTCGTTTTAGAAGCAACATATGGTTAGAAATTTCCGTAGGTAGGTAGGTTCTTTAATAGATGAGCCAAAACTAATTGCAAAATATGGTCCAATTAGGAACTACTATTTTTGGCTCATTTCAGAAAGAACGTTCGGTGCTATGAGTTTCCCTGTGCAGATTGATTAAAATAACCAATAAAATAAAATGAGTGCCTAATTTATTCTCATATACATGAAGAATATATTTCGCCCACTGGCCAACCAAGTCTGGAACCAAAAATTGTTTGTCGGAGGGGGAGGGGAGTATCTGAACAAGGTAGGCTGGAGGGCAAAGGAAGATACCGCCCTTAAAGGGATTCGGAAGAGAGGGACTTTTCCAGATCTAAAATGGATCCGGAGGCCTTTCCGAGAAATTCTTGAGAAATTAGGTTGTTTCAAGAGCAATTTTGGGCTGTTTTCGTCAAAACTTTGACTGTAGTTTCAAAGCTTAAAGACAGGTCACGAATTTATTTGGAAAAATTCCTCATATCTTCTGAAGGGGGCCGAGTGAATTTCTGAGGGGCAGCCCCTCTCTCCCTCAGTTCCGCTCATGCCACCACTTCCATTGAATCGAGGTGACGATTTCATTTTGATAAGGTCGTGATTTCGTTTGGCATTCTGAGAACGCATCCTGCTATGGCTATCTGGTTGATAACGGTATGAATGATCTTGAATTCATCACACCCGGGGGGAATGAAGACAATTTAAACTCAATTTTGTACTGTTTAAACATCTTCCGGTTTCAAGATCAGGATTCATCTCTTCGCCTGAGAAAGATGAAAATAACACCGAAAATATGAAGTTACGGCCCGCTGTAGGTATTTTAATCAACATTAAAATTTTAGACGGGACACGTTTTGTCAGTCCGCAATGTTATGAAAACTATTCAATTTTTTCACTAACCGAGAATGGATTGGGGACTCAGAGGGAAAGGTCGCTTTAAAAGTTTGAAAATTTTAATGCATTCCCCCTCTCCAAATTTTAAGCTTTCTTTCTTCCTCAGGGATTCGTAACATTATTTTTCCTCCAAGTGCTCTAAAATCACGTGCTCGTCGTGATAGCGCAAAGGGCAAACAATGTTTTATCCTAATTTTTATCTCTATTTTTGAACTGCGGTCAAGGAAGCGTTTCTTTGCACTTCTTTTTCATGGGCCTCTTTGGACCCTTTGTTTAAACCTGAAAAGGGCGCGGACAGATTAGGTGCTGCTTATGCTGGATCCTGGGATAATGGTTTGGCTTGAATTTGTGGCCAGTTTTAATGTCACAGCACTGCGAATTCCACATCATTCAGAATTAAAAAATGCATCTACACGAATGCTAGAAATGTAAATTTTGCCTCATTGTATCGCCAAAACTAGTTTTGGATCTAGATCTAAAACAACGAAATTTCCTTAGTGGCTTTTCTTACTACGGAGTTCATTTTTGCCTCTAGGCAAATTATACTCTCGGATTCCTAAAAACAGAGCCCTTTTGAAAGAGCTAATTCTTATGTGGCAGACATACCCACAAAAGTGAGTGCGTTCGTTCAAATTTAAACCTGCATCAGAAGCAACACATCTCGTATTCAAAGAGAAAACTTACCGGAATTGCGTATCCTTTATTGACATCAATCAGCGAGGAAAAATTCGAGTATCTCCTTATCATATTCCGTCACAGTTCACGGTTTCTTCTCAACATCTTGCGTTTTTTACCGCACATTTTGATGAAGCACAAGGCTCCCATTTTCCTCGGTAATTGCGCACAAGTATTGATGATAGTTTTAAGCCGTCAACCCGATCTTAAATATTTACAAATCAACACTTAATGATGGGAAAATGTGAACTTCGAGACTAGAAAGTAAAAAAAAGCGCCATTAGGGCTACACCGCAAAAGACCGATCTGATCCTCCCAGAGAACGTATGATTCAAAATGGAACTAGAACCGTGGATATTACCAGAGGTGGTCCGCAATGGTGAAATGTTATTGGAACAGTGTTTATGTGATCAATCTTACTTGTGCATAGAGAGCATGACCTTAAAGAGGTACACTTTTCGCGACACAATAGAAGAGTGAAATCTCAAATTGTTGGAGAGTCTTTAAAGTGGGAGCGAACTTTGCACTGAGCCAAAGGATATGCATTTCTCTAAGGCCCCCTGTGTTCGAACGAATCACCTTTTTCTATGGCCCATCGTTTAGGAAGTGGTCTCTCAAAAAATTGTTATATTATTTAAAAACAACTGTGTATAATATTTATTTCCCCGGATAGATCCTTCATGAACATTGAAGAATTTTCCGTTAGACTCATAAAAGTCTCCATCAAATTTTGAATTTGTCACCCTCGACCTTACACTTGGATAAGAAACCTGAGTTTGGGACAAATCAGACGCTGAGGTCAGCACCGAATACTTAAGTCACCTAAGTCAGTGTCAAAATTACTAAAGTCGGTGCAAATAACTTGCATGTCAGTCTCGATCAGTATTGGGTGAGTGCTCGTGAAGACTGATCTCATTGCTGATTTGTGGTTACGCTCAAGTTAGTCCTTCTGAACACTTAGCTGGCGCTCCTATTGGCCACACCTAAACTCGATCTCTTTTGGCGCTAGCCTCAAAGTCAGATTTATTCAATTTTTTCCAGTGCAATTTTATGAATATTTCTTCTGTTCTTCAAACCGACTTTTGAGAGAAAAAGCAATCTAATGAGGGTGTATGTTTAGTTTTTGGCGCGATCTTGATCATTTGGGGTCTTCTGCACCCTCTACTTTTCACATGCCTCTCGAATAGTCAAATGTTTCTCTATGAGGATTTTCTGCTGAAAATATCCGTCGATGCTCTGTGATGAAATGTTCACGCTGTTCCGAGCTGTATTGCCATTATTTCCTTAATTAATTCAATTATTAAAAGAGTTTTTACTCAAGAACCAAATCATATTTAAATCCAAATGAAATAGCCGCGCAGTAGGTTTTAAAAAAAGAATTCTAACCGCGCAGCGTGCACACGACGGCAACGTTTGTTTCCGTATATATTTGAGCACCACAATAAGTTTTTATCAGGGCTGGACAATGGTGAATGAAAATATTTAAGTAGCAATAAAACCATTGAAAGGAAAAAGAGCATCCAATAACTACCTAACCTAAGTGGCACATTCAAGCAAATTTAGAGGCTACGACACTGGGACGGTGATTGAGCGGGTCATTAATTAATTAATTGCCACGAGCTCATTATTTATGGATTCACTGACAGAATTCAGTGTGATCTCGATTGTAAACGGTTACCCAATGACTTAGACGCTTCCACTGAATACGTGTAATCAAACGCTTGTGCTGCCGTGATAAGGACAAACGCCGTATGAGCTTTCGGATGTTGCCAAATTTCCGTTAGTAAAATACAAGTTTGCAGAAAAATTTGTAAACATACTGCTTTTCAATCGTTGGAACGATTCCGATCCCAATTTAATCTAAATTATAAGCAAACCTCAAATTGAAACATCCATGACTTTTCTCAAAAATAAATAGATTATTGTGAGGGAAATTTGGCAACGTTCGAATGCTCATGCGGCGATTTTCCTTCACGCTGCGAGGAAAAAGGAGCCGAGCGAACAGAATCAAACCAAATCACCACCACACTCGATCACAGGAAATCCAGATCCACGTATTGCTTTTCCACTATCCACCAATCGATCCGGAATCATAACCCCACCTTCATTTCACACTCGACATTCGCGGACACTCGCGCGCCAGGTAGGATGACGTCATTCACTCCCGCGGAAAACAACCGTTGCAGCGAGCACTCGTGCACTGATTCAGATCCGCGGTGGAGAGCACATCGAAACCGCGATTCGCAGAGCAGAATTCGAGAAGGCGTTTTTGCAGGTCGAGAACGTCGTGCGAGCGGGCGGCCGAAAAAAAAAACGAAAGAGGGAACGGAACGGAACGGGGGAAACGATGGACGGACGGACTGCGTGGAGCGGACGGGAGCGAGACCCGAGCTGGACTGACGGAGACGGCTAGTGAAAGTTCTGGGTAGGCTAAAAAATGCAACTCTCTCTTTCTATTTTGTAAGCCTTATCAAGACTGCATGGCGAGCCGAGCTCCGAGCTCCTCTGCTACTCTGCCTCTGAGCCTCCGAGACCCAGTCGTCGCTCAAGCCACGCTCCCACAAGCATTCTGCGACGCAGTATTCACTGCGCAATGGAGAATTTGCAGTTTCTCGTCGACCGCTGCTGACCGCATTGTGTTTGACGCAATGCGTGAAGTATTTATGCAGTCTTGTAGGCGCTATGCGTTTCACGCTGACCGCACTGTGTATGACGCAATGCGTGAAGTATTTATACAGTCTTGTAGGCGCTAATATGTGTTACATGCCGACCGCCGCGCCGAGGGCTTCTCCTTTTCATCTCAAGTCCGCGTCATCATTGCTCTCTGCACCGCGCCGCTCCAGGCCAAATTCCGCGTTTGGTTTCTCTCTTAACTCAAAAAATTAAAGGTGCTGTCTCTAGTATCACAGAAAGACGACAGAATTGTTAATTACTGTACTCTCAGGAGATGAGAGATTTTGTCACCTTTTCTCGTTATTTTATACTTATATTAAAGAAATTGCACATTTGCCGTCCCCTAACTTTGCTGCCATGGGGGTTCAATGACATTTCGAAACCGATTTTTTGTCCGCACACCTGGTTCTTCTAGTAGTTTATGTCGACGCGTTTTTTTCGGCAGGGGAGTTCGTGCCGTAGAACCTTGATTTATTTTGCGAGGAAAGCTCCGTACTCTTGAAGGATGCCTATCATTCTTAAAATGTTGGAGCGCCTTCAATTTCGTTTGATACTGTGCAACACCTCTGTTGTGAAATAGTTGCTTGAAGCGGCGTGGCGGGAGGCTGGCCAACTTCCAACGCGCATTGACGCCTATAAACCTAAGGGGATACTTCAAGCATTGCGCAATGCATGAAGTGTTCCCTTAGGTTTGAAGGCGTTAGTGCGCGTTTCGTGCCGGTAGCACGCCGCTCTGCTCTGTGTTCTGCTCTAATATTTAAAATCGCGGAGTCGGCGTATTTCAGCTCATGATTTTGAAATTTTCGCACATTCTGCATGGATTTTCCTCATTTAAATTGATGAAAAAAAATGTATTAAAGGAAAATATAAAATGTGTTTTGTAAATATTAAGGTGGTTCCGTGTCAAATTTAATGATCCCATAAGCACTTTAATTATTTCTTTTAACTTTTGGTTTTTTCCCCTTTTATATTCATTTTTTTATAATTTCTTTCAACACAACTCTTATTTTACGCGTGGACGTAAACTACTGGACAAAACAGGCAAGCGGACAAAAAATCGTTGACGGAATACCCTGAAACCGCCATGAGCCGCGGCTCATGAGGCCACCCCCTAAATCCGGCCCTGCGTGCAAAGTGTCTATGGGTATAATGATTTGAAATCTGCCTGTTCTACCGTGTTACCGAAGACATCTATAGGTGCAAAAGTGAGGTTAGGGCTGTGGCGTGAACTTTCAGCGCTTAGACAATTAGGTTTAATATGTTGTTGGCGCCCCAAGAGGAGAGTCTGGTGAAGACCCGCCGCAAAAGAGGGAGGGGTCCGGGAGGGATCCCCTCCTCCGGAAATCATAGGATTTCAAAGAATATTTAATCTGTGTAAATTCAAAATTTCAACGCTTTTGAAAATTACAACCGCAGTATTGGTAGGTGGGGTTTTGCCTATGCGCCCCCCGCCCTCCCCCTTCAAAATTGGCGTAAATCGACGCGCTGGCCTGTAAAGTGCTTTGCAGTGCCGCCTTGATTTAACTTTATCACTCGAAATGGAAATACTGGATGGGAAAGGACGCTTAAAGATGACGGCGCAGAGATACAATTATTCGAACTTGATGGATATCCGTGTTGCATCTGCCAAATTGAAGGCGCGATGGCGCAAGGCAAGAACTCACAATGCTCCGTTATGTGCTGCCTATGAGGTGTCGCCCAGATTTGGGGGAAAAGTCAAAAAATGAAGCCCGATACGTCTCTCCTATCTTCGCTTGTTTGTTACTCACATAGCCATTATAGCACCACTGCAAATAAGACAAACAGAATCAAACATAATATGGGAAAATAGAGCAATGGAGAAGACGCGTGTTGATGACGGCGCGGCGCAAGGATACAACTATTTGAGCTTGACGGATGTCCGTGTCGCATCTGCAAAATTGAAGGCGCAAGCCGTGAACCTGCAATGTTCCGCTCGATGCTGCCAATGAGATGTTGCTCAAATTTCTTCTCTTTTCTCTGTCGTTTTTAGTTCTCACTTTCCTCCTCTTGTTCTTCTTCATTAGTTTCTGCTCCTTTTTTCGTTTCTTTCCCACGTTAACAAAGCTTGGCGGCGTAGCGCAACTTGTCGTCGCGTTGGGCGCTCCTTGTGAAACCGTGGCTTCACCCCGCCTGCAGTCGGCTCCCACCGAGCCATGCCATGGCGCCATCAGCTCGTGCTCCGCAGCCTGGCCAACACGAGCCAAAACTCGCACCATCCGATTTAGTGGCGTGGCGTGCTTCGCGATATATCGATTGTTATGCCATTTAAACCTATAGAAAAGGATTGATAAACAGGGTGTTCGCGACGAACACCTTAGTGATCGATTCTTCATACCATAGGTTTAAATGGCAGAACAATCGATATATCGCAAAGTACGCCACGCCACTGATCCGATTTAGGCCCCCTGCTACCATACTGCCGTGCTAAGGAAAAACGCTGCATGAGCCACCAGGCGTTGTCTCATTTCCTCCGATCCAAAACGAATTAACCGGGAAAACTGCTTATATTTTTTCCAAATTGTTCCGATCATCTTGTACGCAATTTAATATTTTTTATCGGAGGAAATTCGGCAACTCTCCAATGTTCATATGTTGTTCTTCTTCAGCATGGCAGCATACCGCCTCTTGAAGAAATGGGGGCAGTGGAGAATTTGCAGGTGTCTGAAATTTGATGAATTTCGTGTTAAAGTGGAGACCATTGAGTGAACTGAACACGTGGATACCCTTGGTTCATGAATTGAACAATTATTGGAGGAGATATGACAAAATAACCTAATCTGCTAAAATACATGTGTTTAAATAAGAAATGTCACCAGATGACGTCACTAGGCGGTGCATTTTCTCACTTTTAAATTTATTTTTATACTTACTATTTCCCATTGCAGAAAAAATCATAAGAAATACTGCAAAATCAGCTCTTTCGGCACTTTCAGACGAAGTAATAAAAAATTTGCGTGCAAAGTCTCCATTCCATGATCCAGAACTACTGATCCAGGAATTATAATTCCCTGATATTTACTTTTTTATTCTCAGGAGAATCGTTGCGTCAATGCTACTGATTGTTTCCGAGATGTTCCTTGTCGTTCATTTTAACTGAGCCGCATTTTGCAATTACGAACTACATTATTGTCTGGCTTATTCGTAAAAACACTTATGTTTATATGAAAACTAATGGTGTGTACGTTGTTTTTCAACTAAGCCGGGAATCGTGGTTTCGAATTGCAAAATTTAGCCCAAATGTTTCATTCAAACTTAAAAGTTGGCGCGCCTCCGACTAAAATAAAGCAGAGGAAGAAAATAAAGAAAGTACTACACTTAAATGGACGTATTTATGCTAAAAGAAACCATGTACATATAGGTTTTGCGTGTGGCATAGTTCCTTTTAGCATAAATACGTGCAAATAATATGAAACGAAGAAGAAGACGAACGTTCACCGTTGCAGTGAATATTTCAACCGGCCGACCGACGCACAGTGGATCGAGTCAATTAGAGGGGTCGGACATGAAATTTTTTACTAAAACTGCAAATTTTGGTATTTATTTCGTCACAGTTTACATTACAAGGGGTGCTTCGGATAAAAATTTTCACGAGGAAACCAATAGAACCGCTTTTAGAACCTTAAAATTTTGTATGACCGAAGTTTCAAGCGTTTAAAGTTTCCAAATTTTGTTCAATCTCTTACATTGACTCGATCCACTGTGCGACGGACAACAGAGCGAGTAAATTAGAGAAGTCGGACAAAATGTGGAAACATTAAAAGCTCTTAACTCCGGTAATACAAAGTCTTGAGGTTTTAAAAGAGATTACATTGGTGTTCTCGTAAAATTTTCGTCATGACACACCCTGTTAAAATTAGAATTTGACGATTTAAACATCAAAATTTGCATTTATATCAAACAAGTTATTATATCCGACTTTACCCATCCACTGTCCACTGTGCAATGCGGCGCGACGCACACTACTGCTGTGCTGAGGAAGAGGCGCTGTACGAATCTGCAAACGTTGTCACATTCCCTTTGATAAAATCCTTCAATGAAAAAAAGTACGGCAAATTTTACCAGAATTATGGTAAATTCTATCATGAGTCTGTTTTTGATGCAGTGATACTGTGGGGTAGGAATAACCAGACATCTGGTAGCATTTATCGTACTGTTGTAAATGCGGTTAGGGTTACAGTATTTGGTACCATAGAGTCAGCACTACAGACTCTGTAGGTGATTATAATACTCATGGCGTGCCTCTAATTTTCATGTCTTATGATCCGAATAACTCCAAGCTTTTCGAACACGTGTGTACCATTAGTTTCCCTATGTATACGAGGTCTGTTAGATTAGAAACCGGATTTTGGTCATAACTAGCCCACAATGCGTCCAAATTACGTTTTCTTGAGCTTTTCTGATAGCTGAAAATATATTTAAGAACGCTACGTTCACAAATTTGAAAAATCCTAATCAGCTTCGTTGGTATGTGGCTTGAAGTAAGGCAACCTCAAGGGTGTTTTGCGATTTTTATGTTTGACCGAACTTGTCTCTCTTTTTTCGGTCTTGCACTACATTTTTCAACCCACAAGGACGATTGGAGTTTCGTCTCCATATCGTAGCCGTACTCTAAAGTATTGTCACCGAAAATTATCCTATCCAAAAATGTAGGAACATTGTTAGAACGTTCAAGCAGCTAAAGGAAAATTGACGTTTGGTTGGATTTTCGTTCAACGGACAACAATCAAGGGGCAAATGTACCTGGAACTCGATGCGTGTCTACATATTCTAT